TTTCGGTCAGCGATGATTCAAATCCAAGAATGGCGTCCAACAGTCCAACAAACATCATTTGTCCAATGAATATCATTTTGCTTAATGTCGATTAAATAATGTTGTTTCGATTAGCGTCGATTCAACTCTAGATGAAAGTCTGAAAGTGTAATAAGAATTATATAAATGCTTTGAAGGAAGAAGGAAAGTTCATGAAATTTAATGAAGCAGTTATTGTTCATATTTCTGTTCTGCAGTATTTTGGGGGCATTCGGCAGCAGTGTACCCTTTGCAGTTTTCATTTTCGCAGCTCCTTTTTGTCGAGACGAACATGTCCTACCTATCGAATCTTGCATTTCATTGCATAAAACAATGCATAAGGCCTCGGAAATGGTGTGAAATGCATGACCGATGTTTAGCCAGTTGATTTATGCGGGTGCAGACCTTCACCATCAGACTCTGCCTATCTTCTACAGTAAGTAAAATAGGTAGCATTTATTTACAGTAACGTAAAATCAACATTTCGTTTTTTTAATTAATGACAGTTTTCTATTGAGAATAAGCTAAAAATAAGTAGAATTTTATGTTGCTTTATGAAATCATTTAAGTATAATACTTAATAGGACAGTTCAATAAATTCCTAGTTTACGGTGCGGCCTTAGCGCCATTTTTAAAATTGTCGCCAACACAAAAATGACTTGTTTACTATCATCATAATGTCGCCAAGAATCGCCAAATTCCGTGTGTACCGTATATTAGCATTAAACCGCTCAGTTCTTTTAATTGTGCCACTTAAAAATCTTTGGTGAGTTCGAAGAATGAAGAATGTTATTATCTATTACTTAAGACATTTTGACATACGTAATGTCGATTCAATGCGTGTTTAAGATATTTCTGATAACACAAACAGAATCAATCTAAAATATCTAAATTCAAAATGCTAATTTAGATGAATTATTAAAGTGATCTTGTCAATATACGATGGTTTGTTGAAACTGATCTGTCTACTTGAGTAATGCTTAGATATAATTCATCTGAATTTTCGCTAATAATCGCAAAGATAATTGTTGCAAAGATAGTTAATAATGTTTGCAAAGATAGTTAATAATGTTCGCAAAGATAACTGTGTATTGTAAGAAAATTTGTTATAATTGCCACGACTATTTATTGGCTATGTGTTAGTGACATAATAGCTCTGTTAATACATTTCCAAAGCCTAAACTTTTCAAAACCATATATTTAAGATGTTATAGCTAGAAGAAACCATCTAACGTGCGTTAATTTGTAGGACAATAGTTCCGAAAGTTTAATAGAATGCTTTTTCAGCTGCAGAAGTGAAAATTTCTAGTGTTTACGTGATGAAAATGACAAAGAATTTGAGTACGCTAACACTGAGGAAGAAAAAACAAAAGAAATAAAGCGACTATCCCCGTTTGATGATAAAAATGAAAGCAACTATGAAATAATTTCTTTAAAAACTGTAGGTAAAGAAGCATTAGAATTATGGAATCCTGAAGCACAGTTGAAAATTTTTACGTATGTGAAACGTCTGTATAAAATCAACTTTGATAAAGGAGATGTGCTTAGAATAATTATGGCTGCAGAAAAACGAAAATGTGACCTTTTTGACCAGCAGTGTTGGGAAATGGAGGATTTACGATTGGTTTTCCTAACTTATTTGTCATGCTCCTTATAAAGTGAATTATCAAGGCTTTTTTAGCTGGACCAATGTGTATTAAACCCCACTTAATTGGAAGACTGCAAATATCCCAAAAGTTCACACCTGGAATGGAGTCCTTAAACATGAAACTGTGAACTTTTTTCGTAGTAGAAAAATAGAAACTCGAAAGTTAAACTTCTATAAAGCGCTTTCACTTGTTTAACTAATCAATGGAAAGAAAGGAACAGTTATTGTAAGAATTTTATAATCTCTCCAGACGAAAGAGATGTAGTATCTTTCTTAATTGTACAGTTGCTGTAATATCTTTAAGCATAATTAAAGTTGCTACACTAAGTTTAGTATTTCTGCTGTAGTAGATAGTATGGAATATATCTACATATATACTGCATATCTATAATATCTTTAGTATAGTGTATTAGCATCTGTGGTATGTTTAATATTTAGTATATCTAGTATAACTAAAATATCAATATCTAGTGCTACAGTATTGTGTAATATCTATCAGTTTATGTTTGCTATCAGACTATCAGTTTATGTTGCTTAATGGAAAATCACATAACAATAGATGATCGGAAACGCTTTCTTCGCGTGGTAGTTTGCGATGTAGTGAGCGTTGTTTAGCGTAGTAAGAAAAGAGATGCGTAATTAACAATATCATTTAATCATTTATTCTTAGCGAGAACAGAGACAGCGTTAATTCAGCGATACATGTTGCGTTAGCGTTCTACTGCGTAGAAGAAGAATGTATCTCAGATGCCAATTATCAGAGACTAAACTTTACATTATTTCTTGTTGCCATATGTAACAGATTAACATAATAAATGCACAATAACAAAAATGCGACGGGAAAGTGCTCCGTTAGCCAAACGATAAAGTTACAAGTACAGAACATCCAGCCCAGCGTTGAAATGTTACATTATTTCAAGTTTAAAGGAAAAAGTATGAATACAAACATATGTACAACATACAACAAATACACTAATTAATAATTCAATTAAACAAAAAAATTATCCAACGCTAGAAATATCGTTGTCTATAATAGGTTAAATACAAATTTTCGAAATTGGTCTTCTGAAAACAGCCTTTGGAGTACGTACGTCTACGACTCTGACATTTCCGTCAGGACCTGCGATCACCTTAATAATTCGACCTAAAGACCAATTGCAAATAGGAAGTTGAGAGTCTTTTAGTAAAATGAGCATGCCAGGAGTTATATTTGGTTTTTTAACCCCTTCGCGCCGACTGTCACGTATACGTGCCAGCAACGAACGCACTTACCTACCGGCCGACACGCAGGCGTGCCAGAGGATTGTTCCATTCTCTACCGACTGTCACGTATTTGTGCCAGTACTTTGGAACGTTTTTCAAACTATAATTTCTGCCACAAGATGGAACTGTATATCCATATGGTTTCAGATACATGTAAATTAGACCTTCTACTCGAAATGAGAGAAGCATGACTCACATACACGTGTTTTTCATTATATAACAAACGGGAAATAAATGTTTCCGAATGGCGTGATTTATGACGTCTCTTTAAATCGCACTTTATTCGCACGTGGTAGTTGTTTACTGTAAGTAAAGAAGTTTTATTTGCTCTAAAGCGTTGGGTATTTCGGTTTGCAGTTCAGCTTTTAGAAAATAATTAGATCTTGTTAGACGTGAATTCTTTGTTTTTACCGTTGCAATGTCGAAGCGTCGAAAATGTTTAACAAAGCATGAAATAGCAGAAATGATGCAAAATATTTCAGATATTGATTCCGAAATTCTGATATTGTGATATTGATTCTGAAAGATTAACTGAAAGACATTTTCCAAAACTTTGTTCAGAAGAGACTGATAAGAAAATGAGACGACGATGCTTCGTTTGTTCACATTCCCGGAAAAATCCTCCAAAACGGCAAATGAGTTATTACGAGTGCAAGGAATGTAACGTAGGACTGTGTGTAGATCCCTGTTTTCAAATTTTTCATACGAAAAGAGGATTTTAAGTAATATATTTAGTTTTCAGATGTATAATGTTAAAATTCATAAAATGGTGAGTAATTAAAATAAAATGTGTAAAATGCATTTAAACAGAAATAAGGTAATTAAGTATATATATAAAAATATTATAAAGCATAGCCGTTTAAATACTCTATAGAGCATTATTAAACAATGCGTTGATACTTCGGAAATTTCATGGATTTAGGCTTAGTAGCAAAAAAGCCCCCGGCCCTGGAGAGACGCTCGCGTACGACACTGCCGGCCTCAGCGATAAGCGCGCGTTTTCGCTACCCGGCTCGAAGGGGTTAAGCACTCACTTAGAGCGTTGTTGCCGATGGCTTAGAAAGCTGTTTTGCCAGCATTTCCAAACGTTTTGAACTAATTTTTGAGTTCTCTGCCACCTACTTAGAAGATTATCTCTTTTATCAATTAAGTTTGGTTCTGGTATGGCATTTATCGGTTTTCCTATTAGAAAATGTCCAGGAGTTAATGCTTGAAAATCATTTGTATCAGTAGATAAGGGTGAGAGTGGTCGCGAATTGAGGAATGCCCTCGATTTGAACTATTACTGTTATAAATTCTTCTAAATTTAACTTAGCGGAGCCTACGACTCTCTTCAGATGGTACTTGAACCTTTACACCGCCTCCCAAAGGCCGCCAAAATGGGTGCTTTAGGAGGCAAAAATTTCCACTTAATACCTTCTGAGGCTAACAGGCTCGAAATGTCCTCACGTTTAACATTAATTTATGCAAAACGTTTTAACTCTGCGGAAGCTCCAGTGAAGTTCGTTGCGTTATCGCTAAAAATTATTGAACTCTTGCCGCGTCGTGCAAAAAATCTCTTCAAAGCAGCGATTAGAGCTGCTGAAGTAAGATCTGACACAAATTCCATGTGAATAGCTTTAGTCGCCATACATACAAATATAGCTACATAGATATTTTGAAAAGTACCCTTTCTCTGACCTTTGTATTTAATTTTAAAGGGTCCACATAAATCTATTCCTACATTTAAAAATGGGGAACTAGGCGTTACTCGTTCTGAGGGAAGATCTCCCATCATCTGGGTTGCAGCAATTGGTTTATTCTTAAAGCATTCCACACACTCATGGACAACGTTTCGTGCTGTACTTCTGCCACCAAGTGGCCAATATTTAAAACGAACAGTATTTAGTAGGGCTTACGTGAAAATCTCGTTTGTGATAGTATTGAAATATTAGAGTTACTAATTTATTTCCAGCTGGCAGAATAACCGTATGTTTACGATTGAAATTTAAATCTGAATGTGAAAGTCTACCACTAACTCTTATTAATCCGCTTGATGGATCTAAAAAAGGATTAAAAAATTTAAGCTTACTCGTAGGTGGAACTGAAGATTCCCTTTCTAAAGCTGATATCTCAGCAGGAAAATACTTTACCTGTAAATGTTTTATCAAATAATTTTCTGCTCTTTCATATTCTTTGGACGTGAGCTCTCCTGTAGGCGTTTTAGAAGATTTACACCTTCTGCAAAACCTAAAAATAAAGGCTAAAATTCTAATTAGTTTATGAAAGTTGTTACTAATATTAAGTAAGTTATCGAAAAAAAGAGTCATTATTTAAACTTAATTTCAGTTTAGAAACAATCTTGAGTTCATCATTATAAAGTTTGCCAGTTGAACTACTGAGAGTTTGCAAAGTCTGAGGAATAGATAAATTTAATTTTGAAATGCCTGGTCCTTTCCACCAAAGTTCACAAGCGGCATGTGCTTTCCAGTCCTCTGGAGATCATATTTGCTAATTTGAACTCTGAAGGTATATGATGCCATTTGAAGTCTTTAGATATCTGCTGGGTTTGTGATATTCGGTTGCCTACAAAGTCTTAAGCAGATTTGAAGGAGTCTTGATCCATGCTAGTGCTATTGTAGGATCAGAGTACAATTTCACAGAGCCTATTTGAAGTTTAACAGCTGTTAGGACCTTTTCCGTTAGTTTTGCGAGAAGAAGGCTGGCACAAAGCTCCAGACGTGGGACTGTAATGCATTTTGTAGGAGCAACACGTGATTTGCTGCAGAGAAGTGTACTGTTTACTTCACCGGTGCTGGACACAGTTTGGATGTATATCACTGCACCGTAAGCCTTTGAAGATGCGTCTGAGAAACCTTGGAGTACTACCAAATTGGTATTGGTTTTTAAAAAACACCTTGGTACATGAATGTGTTCCAAATGTGGTAGTGTTTTAATGAAGTTTTCCCACTGTTCGGCAACAACTGGAGGTAGTGTTTCATTCCAGTCTAACTTAAGCAACCATAACTGTGCATAAAGATTTTTGCTTTAACAATAACAGGACCCAAGAGTCCGAGTGGATCATAGACGCGTGCTATATGAGATAGTACATCTCTTTTGGTGAAATTAGAATTAGCGCTTATGCTTACTTTATATGTAAAGGAATCGCTTAAACTATTCCAAAACATTCCTAGCGTTTTAACTATTATTTCTTCAGAATTTCGATCAAGCGTGAACTCTTCCAGCTCGGTAGTTGTTGCTTTGTTACTGCACCGTTTGTGCAAAGTCATTCCTCCCTTTTGGAGAAGCTGCTTTAACTCTAACATCAGTTTTTCTAACTCGTTGATGTCTGAAGAATCAGAAAGGCAATCGTCCATGTAGAAATCTTGGAGGACTGCTCTTGAAGCTAAAGGAAAGTCCGTTCCCTCATCTAGGGCAAGTTGTTGTAAAACTTTAGTGGCTAAGTATGGCGCAGACGCGGTTCCATGCGTTACAGTTCGTAACTGGTAAACTTTAACCTGTGCGAATTTACTATCTTTCCATAAGATTTTTTGAAGCTTACTTTGCGAAGGATTAACTTCAATCATTCTAAACATCTGTTTGATGTCAGCAGTAAAGGCGAAAATGTGCTTTCTAAATCTAATTAGAATCGACAAGAGGTCTTCTTGAAGCACTCCTCGCTTGCACAATAAATCATTTAAGGAATGCCCGCTAGACGTTTTCAAACTCGCGTTAAAGACCACGCGTAGTTTAGTTGTTTTGCTGGTGGAACGCAGTACGCCGTGGTGTGGTAGATAATACTCGTCATCTATAAGTATATCTTCTTTCACCTCCTCCAAATGATGCAAATTTTCATATTCATTAAGAAATTCTACATAAAGTGTTTTCAAAGTAGAATCCCGTTCCAAGCGTGTCCACAATTCATCTAGTCTTTTCAATGCGATTTCTTTAGAATTTCCTAACACTGTTTCCGAAGATTCTGGCTTGAGTGGCATTTCAACCACATACCTACCGTCTGGCTTCCTATAAGTGTTTTCGCGAAGTGTTTATTGCAATAATATAATTCGTCATTACAAGTTTTGCGTAGTTCTACTTCTTCGATTTCCCAGAGGGTTGTGAGGGTTTTATTGAGAGTTTCTAAACTCCCAATTTTAATTTATCATCTCCCAAAACTGAGAAGAATAATTCAGCACTCAAAAGAACATCGACCTTTTGAGGAACGAAAAATAATGGGTCAGAAAGTCTTATTTTCCTTGGAATGTAAAAATTCGAAACATTAATTCTTTTGGGGGGTGTGAAATTAGTTATGTTAGGCACAATTAATAAGTCAATTTCCCAGTGTGAATCATTACTTTCATTCGATAGATAAGCTGAAACCTTTTTTGTAATATTTAGCGATGTGTCATTTAATCTACTTATCGGAATGTTTATTTTTTCTTTCTTCAAACCCAGCGCTTCCGCTGCTCTTGTTGTCATAAATGAGCTTTCAGAGGCCGAATCTAGAATAGGCCTCAACGGTTTGCTTTCACCAGCTGCATCTTTGACATAAATTATTACAGTATTTATCAAAATACTTTTACTATTTCCGTTTGAGAAGAAAGAAATACGAGCATTTTCTGGCGAATGCGAATCCATTGACCTTGACGCGTTTATGTTTTGTTTATTTGGTTCCTGAAGCTCTGTCGCCCCCATGATGTCTGGACCTGTCAGCGGCGTAACTATGTATGATGATCGGACTTTTTCTTACAAATATAACAAACACTATTCGATTTACACTGAGATAATAAATGAAATTCTCTCAGACAATTATTGCAAAGGCGATGTTTTTTCACCAAACTCACTCGTTCAGATAATTTCATCTGTTTGAATTTATCGCAGTGATACAACGCATGAGATTGAGATTTACAAGCGATACACAATTTAGGCGATTGATTAGATTTAACCAAAAGAGACTTGGATCGTTCCGAATTAAATTTAGATGGAGCATTGATACTATTTAAAATTTGGCATCTTCTTTCTAAGAATTCTAAAAATGTATCAAAATCGGGCACTTCGTTATCCTTTAGTGTAAGTTCATACTGGTTTCGTGTTTCGCGGTCTAATTTATCAAGAATAACATTTAATAATAAAACATTCGATAGTTTATCTCTTGCGAAATCTAAGACCTTTAACGATCTAAGATTTTTCTTATTATTGTCTAACATGATGCGAAGCTCTTTAGCAGATTCATGTTTTATTGATGGCATTTTTAGAATATTTTTAATATGACAATCTACAATTATTCTTTTATTCTCGTATCTTTGTTCTAAAGCTTTAAAAAGTGAAGAAAAGTTATCGTCTGGTGTTTCTAATGATTTAGCTTCTCCTTTTAAAGCCGCGCGTAAGTAATGCAGCTTTTCATTTTCGGAAAGTTCTGGATTCTCTTGGATTAAACTATTAAACTGAGTCTTAAACAAATTCCATTCTTCAAATTTCCCGCTAAAATTCGGAAGTGGAAGTTTTGGCAGTTTTACTGAAGCCCTTTTAAACTGATCATTACATACAGAATAACATTCATGTGCAGGGCTGTCAATATTTGGATTTGTTACAGATTCGTAGCTGTTATTTTTAAGTTTATTAATAGAGGTTTTTAGACTTACCTCTAATTTTTGAATATCCTCATTCACCTGAGCCAGAAGAGCTTCCACTTCTCCAAATTCATCATCCTTGATTATTCTGTAATAGTCGTTTTTTCAGCACTTCGAACTTTTCATGAATATTTACCGCCGTATCCAAATGAGCTTGTAGCTGCGCGATATCCAGTTCATTTTCCTTTTCTGCTTCTGTTACAGCATTCGCAATCCTTGTTAATTGCCCTTTAAGATTTCCGCGTTTGCGATTTAACGTTGCGATATCTGTCATCATTGTTTACTTTTGGTTTCAAACCAATAGCGTTTAATCCATAGGTTCAAGTTCTGTGGATCGACGGACCATTTTTGTGCGATGTAGTGAGCGTTGTTTAGCGTAGTAAGAAATGAGATGCGTAATTAACAATATTGTTGCGTGCGTACGGGTTCGTTATGAAATGAATGCACAGGTCCGATGAAAAATGAACAAAAATTTATTATTATCACAACAAAAATGCTTAAATTTTCTCAAATTATCATGCAGTATTACAATATCTCACAGTAGTTATCTTTTAACTACTCAAATGTCCAATAGAACGTAATTCAAAACAGCTAAAGAACGCTAATCCGCGAATTCGCTACAATCAACAAGAGCAGTTTTCTAAACAACAACAAACTAAGCAACTACTACAAACTGAGATGTTTTCCTCCTTTTATAAGATTTTAAAAATCACGCGCTAGAATTTTCTAGTACTTTCTCGAAATCAAAAAGAGATATTTATTTATTTAATGCACGCGCTCTTGTATTTTCAATTTTCTGGCTTAGCTTTTCTTTTCATATTCGTCACGCGCTGCACTGCCCGAGAAATAAAACCATTTAATTTATAATTGAACTAACATTAGCTTTTTAAATACCAAATTCGTAACAATATAATTTAATCATTTATTCTTAGCGAGAACAGAGACAGCGTTAATTCAGCGAATACATGTTGCGTTAGCGTTCTACTGCGTAGAAGAAGAATGTATCTCAGATGCCAATTATCAGAGACTAAACTTTACATTATTTCTTGTTGCCATATGTAACAGATTAACATAATAAATGCACAATAACAAAAATGCGACGGGAAAGTGCTCCGTTAGCCAAACGATAAAGTTACAAACGAAGGACACTAACAGTCTGACAAAACATGCTTTATTATGCTTAGTATAGCAGAAACCAACAAATAAGAACAAAACCAGACAACGATTATCATTAAAGATGTTTAAATTTACGCCCCGGGACCGTGATGCAGGCATCACATCTTCGGCGCATGGAAGATCTGCATCCCGCATGGAAGATGCATCACGCACGGTTCTTGCATCACATCCGGGTCGTAATTTCGAACATTTTTTTGGGTGACGATTGCCTGTTTTTGTTCTTATCTCTTGGTGTCCGCTGCACTATGAATAACAAACATTATTCTCACCCTGTTCGTGTCCTTCCTTTCTTGTGTTTTGTGTCGTCACTACTCGAGCCAGGAAAGCGTTTCCGACCATGCATTGCTATGTGTTTTTTCATCCTCTAGGTATACTCTAATTTATTCTTAAAGTTTGCAACAGATTTGCTAAAACACCCTGTATAGAGTAATATAGTGTTATATTAGTGTAGTATATTATAGCATATAGTGTAATGTAATACTCGTATTTTTGCTATTATAGTATAGTACAAAACAATGTGTAATCTTTAGTATTTTTTGCTAATCTTATATTATTATACCCGCTACAGTATCTTTAGTATAGTAGGATAAGTATATAGCTATACTGGTACCACATATTTGTAGTGACTTTACTTATCTTACGTATCTTTACGTATTTCTCTATCTGTGTTACAGAAATTTATAGTGCTATAGTATCTCTAAATATCAACTGTGCTATAGTAGACTATAGAACAAACAGAGAGTCTATACCAGTCTCTATTTGTGATATAGTATTTTTAGCATAGGTGCTATAGGACCTTTAGCGTAGTCTTTTCGTTACAAATTTATTAAATACTTATATATCTATTTTAGTACTTTTCAGTTTAAAGGACTTGATTATCAGTCCAAGCGATTCTTTTTATTTCGATTCTATTACACTTTTATCTATTTCACTGCAGCACTTCACATTCAAATAAGCCAACACGAAGCAAGTCCTTTTTCAAAAGACTTTTCTGACGTTACGGTATAGTATCGTAATACTTACATCCGGGTCCACAACAAATGGTATTCACGTTTCTCTGAATCAAATTCTGGAAATCTAATCTTTCACAATTCCTTTCACTATAAATCAGCCGGGAGCTATGCTGTGCTACATTTTTTTCTTTCCCCGTTGTCCAGTTCCACATGTTTGACACTCGGGAATTTCTAACTTCTGTTTTCTTACTTAGGAAACTGCAAGTGACATGTTAGCAGATAGAATGATTTATTACCTGCCATCGACAGTTGGGGGGAAAGGTTGACAGTTATGCTGCACCAACTCCTGTCTTGTAATGCAAAATTTTTTGCGTTTTCTGCACCGTGGTCTCCATACTCGCGGCTATTAGCTATCACATATTTTTATTTTATTCCTATGGTTTATCGGAGGGAATAGGTTATGCTGATCTCGTGGGATAAATTTTTGAAATAACACGCTGCTATGAAGGATTGCTAAAGTTGATGAGATAAGTTTGCTTCTTTGGTAAATATTTAACTTTATCTAACAGAACTTAACAAGCTGAATGTTATATACATTGGAAGTAGTGTGATTAAAAATTTATCATTATAATTATCTGGGATCTTAAATTCTTTCCTTCATGTCTCTCAAACATCATTCTGATTCTGTAAAAATATGTGAACAAAGGATTACGTTTAATCTTGACGCGTTGATTTTATTCTCTACGCATTTAAAAGTTTATTTCAAATATAATCTATGAAACCTCGGTGAAATCTGGCAAGGCGTGAGAAACATATCTTTGGATTTTAGTTTTAATATTGGTGCGAAAGTTAAGAAAGTGGGATATTCTGTTTGAAGCTGTAGAGTCATTAAGCTATATCGATGCAGAAACATGGAAAATGTATAGTGCCCCTCACTTGAATTCGATCCCCAGACCTCCGTATGCTTCGAGCGTGCTTCCAGTTACACTATGAGGGCATGCGGAAGGGAGGGAGAAAATACCTTATGATAAAATTCTTTTATACTTAAGTTCCCCAATGAAAATGCATTCTGTCAATGTTATTTTAGACACTAGCTACTTATTAACTAGGCTAAAATAGATTTTATAAAAATAAATAAAAAATAGTGTTAATAAGTTGGTATAATTTTGTGGAGTTCAGTTAGCATAACTGCATAAGAAATATTTAATTATTTTAATTACATGCGAAGGTCATGCCGAA